ATTTGCTTAATCTCATGAAAAATGTAGCACGAATGATTTAGCTTCTTTGCTTATTTTTTTTCTCTCTTTTCTTTCTCTTTCTCTTACTCTTTCTTTCTCTCTTTCGCTCTCTCTCTCTCTCTCTCCTTTCTTTTTCTTGTTTTGTTTTGTTGTTTTTATAATTAGTAAAATTGAACATTAATCTAGGTCGGTCTAATTAAATGAATAATTTTTTCGTTGACTTTCGGTTTCGGGCGAATTAATTAACTAAATGCTACTACGTCGAAGGAGAAAGAATTGTTCTTATTATTTCATCTAAAAGAAATTCTTATCGAGATCTTGCGCTGATATGAAATTTTTCATAAAAACGGGAATTAGAGCAAGTGCCATTTCCTCTCGCAATGTAGGTCGTCCAATGAGAGCCAAGAGGACGTCCAAACATTAATCCTTTTAGATTATTATTATATATTCTTTTTATTCTTTCTATAGCGAGATTATTTATATACGATAAAAATATTGCAAATAAGTGGTCTCAACGTACGCTCCCATTAACTTTGTTCGATTTTCGTTTCCCCGTATAAGATTCAATGATTCTCGGACGTCCGATTTGATCCTCTCTACCCTTCCTCCCCTTATCTCCGCCCTTCTTTTTAAATTTATAATCTTCAATAGAATTACTATTTGCCGAAGTTATCGAGAAAATTGAACGAATCGAAAGTCACGATCTTGGTACTACTATTCTCGACCATCTTTTACCTTAACGGATTAGATGGTAACGTGTACCAACCAAAAGATCTATTATTTATATTCGAACGATATGTATGTATACATATATATATATATATATATATATATATATATATATATATATATCGATTAAACTTTCTTTTATTCAGTAATGTAGGATGAGGATCGAAGATTTAAAAATGGCGCCGAGTCGCGAGGGACTCCGTCGAAGATTTTTAAGTATTCAACCGAAGTCTAACCTTGGATGGTAAAAAAAAAGAAAGAGAGAGAGAGAGAAAGGGAGGGAGAGACATAAAAAAAGAAATGAAAAAAAGAACATAAGAACGTTCCATCTCGATTTATCGCTGAAACCCTCGTCGTTATTTCATTCGACGAAACGAATTGCTTCTACGTAGAGAGATAGTTGCTCGATTATTTTAATAATATGGCGTCTTAAGGCAATTACATAAGTCACCGATCGTATAAAAGTTCACGAGATGATTAATATAAACGTCGTAATAATCTTTTCTATGAATACATGATCGACTTCATTCTTTTTTTAGCGAATCTTTTAACATATACATACGTACACACACACACACACACAATTCCTTGTTCCCTCGTTTGCGAGTGACATAATTTGCGAGAATTTTCTCGGTCTCGTTGTCTGAGCACCGACTCGTAAATCCAATAGGGAGAAACTCGTCTACTCTCGAGGAATTCCACGACGATGCGACTATGCAAGTGACTCGTGTCACGTGACACGTGTCCGTTGCACCGACTCGCGTCGTGCCGCGACATATAATGCACGTGTTGGTTGGCCGGTGCACGAGCACAAGTATGCACTCTCTCTCATTCTCTCTCTCTCTCTCTCTCGCTCTCTATCTATCTATCTATCTATCTATCTATCTATCTATCTATCTATCTATCTATCTATCTTTATCTTTTCTTTCTCTTATTCGGCAGCGTATTTTCTTCTACTACTATTACTCTTCTTCTGGTTCTTCTTCTGGTTCTTCTTCTTCTTCGTTTTCTTCGTCTTCTTCTTCTTTCTCCTCTGGTTGCTCCCTTCTCTAGCAGGTACGTGCTACGAATCGATCCCTGAGGCCGTTTGGAATTTCAAAGCGCTCTTTGACCGTCTTCTTGAAAAATTCAGAGGACGCCCGAACCGGTGCCACTGCTTTTTTTCTTTCTTTTTTTTTCCACGAAGGAAAGAATTTTACCGACTTTTCACGTGCGCGATCTTAAATCTAAAACTCTCTCTCTCTCTCCTCTCTCTCTCTCTCTCTCTATCTCTCTATCTATCTATCTATCTATCTATCTATCTATCTATCTATCTATCTATCTATCTATCTATCTCTTTCTTTCTCGTTCGTTCGTTCGACCGGGAAAAAGTTATCCTGAAAAAAAAGTCTGAGATTTTCGAGAAAAATTCTCCTCCTTTACTTCCAACATTGGTCCTCTTTCGAATTCAATACGTTGCGAAGATATACATGAGATTTCATCTCTTATCATAGATATATTTCATTCAGGGAGATCCGTTAAATTTTAATCATTTTTAAATCTGTGATAGGATATATAATCAAACAGTGTTGCTTTTATATATAAAAACGATATAAAAAATATTATTAACGAACATATAGAATTTTCTTTCGAACAGAGAGACTTTTCAGAACTCTTCTTTTGTTTCTTCTTTGTCGTCGTCTCTCTTTCTCTACCTCTCTCTTTCTCTCTCTCTCTCTCTCTCTTCCTTTCTGTCGTTTTATCGAATATCGTTAGAATGACGATTTAGCCGATGAATCGAGGAAGCAACAATTTATAGATAACTTCACTGAATGAGACCGATTGGGGAGAGAGATAGTTGGGCGCGAAACC